TGGAAAATACGGTATATATATATGTTTGTATATAAATATAAATATAAATATATATGTAGGACAAGAAGACTCCGGCTCAATTGATCGGCTGCCTCAATTATGCAAAGTTGAATGTAAATTGTTAAAAGGATATAAATCACTCGACAAACAACCGTTCAGCAAAGAGTCAACAACCTATTTAAACTATTTACAGCTCAGCTTGCAGAAAAATAATTAATATTCCAATAGTTAATATAGGCATCAGATGTGCATGTAATTGCAAATAGTTATGGTTGGATTTTCGAATTGGTTGCTTCGATTAACCTAACATCCACTCTATACACATACACATACACACGCTGGCATGTATATATATATATATATCATTCAATACTGATATTAAATAGCATGAGACTAGTATAATATATAATAGCAAAGTAATCGCGCTGTGATAATATGATTAAACAAATCTGCCATTCTCCGTCAAAGACAACCCCAGTCTGCACACGCAGACAGCCACTGGATCTTTAAAAGTAGCCCGATTGTTGGAAGGACTTTCATATCGTATGGAAGTACATGATGGACAGATTCGTAGGTCAATCTCATCAAGAGACGTCGGCTGATTCGCGTTGTACCGCAGTCTTTTGGCTTTAATATGACGTTCAGGTTGAGGCAGTCGGAAAAACTTCATTTAACGAATTCGGACGAGGATGGCTTCAGTTTTCGTTCGTCATGCCACTTGACGAGCAGCGTCGGAGCTGGGACTCATTCTTGCAAAAGCTTCAAGTTAACACAAAGTCAACAAGACAGACTGGCTTTTTCCTTTATGCTAAATATACTCATTGTGGGAAAGTGTGATAGGGTATAGATGGCTATAGAAAGGTTTGGTTAATCCACATATACTCGAGTGTGTCTGTGTGTGCATATATGCTAACGTATGTAGACAAAACCGGCCGTAACTCAGATTAAAAAGAGTAAACATGAACATTAGCTGCGTCACCTCTTTTAGGGTATGTTTCGACATATCAATGCACCTCGAACCTGTCAGAATAATGTGAT